TCAACCTGGCTTTCTGCCTTAAACGTACAGGTGAACCTAGTATTACAATATTTCGACTCGTATTAGAGTATATCAATGATCGGCTGACAAACTGAGCATGTCGAAACTATAGTATACGCACCCGTGTGGCAGCCACTATGGGTTCCTGTGCACAGGGTACAGGAGATGGTGATAATATTGGCGATGACACAACGACTAAGGACGGCATTCCAATACTTGCATCTTGTGTGAAGAAGTTTGTGAGACGTATTGTGTAAGTGCAGCTGCTGGAAGTGCATTTGGTCTGCATGAATCAACATTTCGAACATATTACATACCATTTTATATTGCGCTATCCCACATATTTGCAAGGCGACACCCCATATTTATTCCTCCAGAGAAAGTTCTCAGATGCACATCATCGCCACAAAGGGTAGTAAATTAGGTGAACGACTGAACTATCTAACCTAGTACTAAGTTGGTTGGCTAGGTCATTCTGTAGTAGTGGCTAGCTTTTATTACCTAGTAATTAAGCGACTGTCTCGAGACCTGTAGTTCATACAAAGACCGATGTCAAAAGACAGTCGACTCATTTGACTCGTCATCTCTGTAGTCCAATTCTAATCCACCTATTCTTCGTTCAATTCACCCACGAGGTATAAGTGGGTGCAATCCAAAAGGACCATAGTCCAGTCCCAGTCCAAGAGGACAGGGCAACCTTACTCTAGAAGCACCCGAACTCAGTCCTTACTGCAACCTCCCCAAGGCATGCGGCTCTCAAGTCGTAGGACTAACTAACAAGACTGGGGTCGGCATCCACCACTATCAAACTATCGAAACCCAATCCTACAGCGCCTCTAGTCCTCACGTCCCGACTCTATATTCCTAATCCTCCCGATCCAAAGAACGAGACGTCAAATGGCCACTCGTGTGTTTCAAATGCCATTCAGCCAATTCTCGGAACGGCACGCCAGATCATTGACGTAACGGTACAAGCGCTTCAAAGTAGAGCATTTGCCCCGAACATTAGGAACTTCCTCCCCTTTCGACAGCAAAACTCTTCATGGTCAGCATTCCAGCCATCCGTGCGCTGGTGTGTGTAGAGAGTCGTCAGCCGGACCCACTCCTGGTAAGCCACATTGAGGCTATACTGAGAACGAATAGCCGGCATGTAGACCCGAAAGGCTCGACCCAAATCCTGACGCTCACGTGACGAAATATCCTGGATAGGGGAATCATAAAACATATAATAGCCAACGGCAGAAGTCGAAACATCACCCCGAGGGAGCTGCTCCTCCTGATCAATGGGTTTAACATAAGCTTTAAGCTTTACTTTTTGCTAAGGCCCACATTATGAATGCAATGTACCAATGGCGGCAACAAAGCCGTAGCGACCGCGGGGCCCAACCAATCCTTTTCCAACTTGTGCACAGGAGGGGCCATATGGGTGTACAGAACTTGTCGACCAACAGCAAACATCGGACAATCCACCCGATTAATATCCGCTGTCCGCTTCTGCGCCTGACGCGCATACTTAATATGTTCAGCAGCCTCTCATCTTCGGACAAAACCAGGGGATACAGATTCATTTGTTGCCCAATCGTGCTTGCACGTTCCAGTTGGTGAAGGAGACCCTTCTTACATGCAAACGGCTTGCCGACCCAGATGCATTCAGCACATGTAGCAATAATAATCACCAGGAGGGCCCGAGATAGATTCCAACCACATTTTGACTGAACCAAAAGCCCTCAACCTGTCCGTTAAAAGATGACTGTATCCACAATGATATTTTCACACAACCTGTAACACTGTCTGCGGCGAAACTAATTGACGCGCCGATGTTGGCTGCAAACGTTCGATTTTTACCAAAACCGTATCCAAATCCTCAATGCGCGGAACAACATCACAACTAACCTGTTCAATCACGGACTTATTCTATCTACGTGTAGACAAAGGGTTGTCCGTCGAAGGGTGATGGCCAAACACATACCAGTAGGCAAAAACGTACGAGCCAGGCGCGTTTCAGTACGAGGTGCTACATCCTGTAAGTCCACCATGGTATCTGGTTCCAAACTAGCCTGATACACCAATTCCCCCGTACCCAATGGTACTTCTTGAGAATCAACACAAGAAGAAGTTACCGACAAGTCGACAAAACCCTGCTTAAGATCCAGACGCATATTGTTCAAGGCTAGAGAGTGTCCACGCATCAAACTCCAAACGTTCAACAGGTTTGACAACAGTACTAGCCTCCACCGGTTCCAAACTAGGAGGCGGGATAATCATATCATCCATCTCAACTTCACGATCACACATACGATCCTCAAACGATGATACACGATCCTCACTCATAAGATCAATAGGCTCAAGATATTCAAAATCTTTTAAACAAGGAGAAGGAACTACCAGTGGGCCAGCACCATAAGTATCATCAAGATCCATTACCTTACTCGGTGAGGGCGATCGTTTGGCCGAGGACCACTTCCAAGAACGGTCCAAAGACACAACCTGCGGTCCATCATCAAGGGGGGCTGGATCTCGGGGCTCAGTATCGTCATCCTCCGAACACGAGCCTTGTACACCACATCCCCGAGGACCGCTCCGCCGCGAGGCACATATTTGCATGCGGACCTCCCCGACCAACCTCCGACCAAAATGATTGAGGGATCACATACCGAAAATCTTGCCGTCCACCCTTGCGTATGTGATCGAGGAGGGAACCCGACAGCCGTATCGCCTATCGCCATTCAACAAAAGAGTATCAAAAGCATGTGGGATCACAAAAGGGCGTGCTTGAAGCAACGGTATCAATTCCCTAATCCATTGTAGCATAAACACACCCAACAAATTCGCGGCCAGTGGTCCCATAATTACGCTGAGCCCGATTAAATGTACTAGACATTAACTGTACTAGGAATAAACAATCAAACACATATACCGTAATGCCGACATCAAGAACTTCACGCAGAACGAGCCCAAAACCTTGAGTCCCATCCCGGCGCCGGATCTTAATAACATTATCCACTCGCGTCTCACTCATTGGCTGAGTCACCGGTTGGTACCTCAAAGACGGGGTACCTTCAGAAACAGCACATGTAGACCTAATAGAAATCTCCGAGTATTGCAATAACATGGCTTCAAGACCTATATTTAGATCCGGTTCATCAAATTGCTCAACTGATTTAGATTCCAACTCAATGGCTGAGACCTCGCTGTCAGAAAGTTCCCTGATCACATGCCTCACAATCACCCAAGGAATACGCACAAACAAAGAAGCTCCACGCGCTAACTTCGAAGCATCTGAACACAATACCAGCGATAACAGACTGAGAATACAACGTTGTTCCGAGAAGTTCTTTCTCCATCTGGTCGAGTCCAAGCAGAATGTCACAGGACTGTGGAATCCAAGGAACCAGTAAGAAAATAATCTTGGCCATCTCATGGTAGGTATCCCACCCTTTGGCGTCCACTACCTCAAGAAGCAACGTGCCCTCCGTGCTGTGAGAAAGAGGCATGATCCCATCATCCCCATAACCTGACAGGTTCAATATCCACAACCGAAAAATGGTATTGATCCGCAAAAAGGCGAGCCATCACGGCAGGTACCTCCCCCAGTATCATTATAGATGGCCACCTCTAAATCTTCGCACACAGCATGACTCACCGGTCCCGTCCACGCGTCCGCAAGTCATCCGGTCGTCGCCACAGCATTTACCTGCTGGGGACAATCCGATCGCCAATGGCCTGTATGATTACAGGTATGACACTTAGGGCACGTAGGGCTCTTATGCCGTAGCTTGCGTGTGGTACACTGCGGTGCCGCACGCAAACGAGGCTCATATGCTCTATTGGGCATATATGAGCGACCCCTGGAGGGGTCATACGAAGATCTCGCCCTTCTCGGGGGAGTAGTATAACGAGTGGTACTCGCTGTATTAGTGTTATGTGCATAAGAGTTCCCCCTTGTGCGGCCTGTTGAGACCGAGGTGGGTGAGTAGGCCCCCCCTTCAAGTGTTTCGCTTGATATGTCGCACTGTTTGTTTGGTTGGTATTTGCCCCCCTATATCCAAATGTTGAGACCGGTTGGTGGGGCTTAGCGTTCATTTATTTAGCTGCCATGAATGCACATGAAGCAATACCATTTTTGTTTAGTTCACTTGTTAAAACCTCCAACGTTAAACCCGTATATGCATTCGTGACAAATGCATCTCCCGAAGGCGACAACCGAGTGTAACCAATTCATGATTATAAACACTACACAACGGGTCACGCACCGATGGGTCGGTAAGCACCCTTAAAAGCATTATGTGCTCAACTTTGCCTTTACGATCAGCCAGAAGTCGGATATCCGCACACACCTGAGCCCACGTAGTCTTTTGTGGCAAACCCAACAGGCGGTGTGGAACCCTCCCATCCAATACAGGAGCACCAAACATCGAAGGTGGACCCTCCGGATACACCGGTGCAGGGCAATATGCAGCCACTGCCTCAATCGAGCAGCGCCGAAGCTCCCAATAACCCCTTGTGCGATAACGAAAATGTTCATGCACGACATCCGACTGCCTATCCGCAATAAACCACCTACCTCGAGTGCTGTTGTATACAAAAGGCCCACCCGCCGGCATATTGTGTTCATCATGGGCCACTGCCCATTGACTATATCTTTCGATTACAAAGACTGAAATCACCCCGTTATCCTTCCAAGTGATTGTATGCTGCTACGAGATCCACGGTTTTCTGTTTCAGTATATTTTTTCGCTCTCACCTTGTGTAGCAACAGTATACTGTTATAGTATTTGCAATCGCTCTCAACATGTGGATCAGCATTCGCTCTCCACTTTCTTATTGGTCTTTTAGATAGTAAAGGTACAATGAAATGCCCTGTGCTGTTCAATGAATCACCGCGGATGAATTCTATTGCCCAACACACAGTTCTGGGTTTGTTTATAACGTATTATATCTTGCCATGTAAACTTAATTAATCGGTATTTTGATGTGTGATTATTATATGTGCAACGCACTAGTGAAGCTATGAAAGTCACATACTTGAATTCTCACTGTAATTCTAGGTAACCTGTAATTCTAGGTACCCTTGTAATTTTAGGTAACCTCTGGAAGTTTTTTTTTTTTGCATAAAAACTGATCTACTTCATATTTTATTAGTCGTATCGATGCTGTTTTCTAGCTGCCCTATTGAAGTCCTTCTAGAAGTGTTGTGCCATAAATTGGAGCCCAGTTACGAGATGTTTTCTTTTTTAAATGAGGAGTGTTAAAAATATCGGTGGTGGTTTAGTTTAATTTGTGCGCGTGGTCCCGATTTATACGATTTGTAATCGACTAACAAAAGTTGTTTTGCAAGTTTTCTATCTGAATTTTTACACATGATGTAGGACTGTTCGACTAAGCAGAATCCCGGCTCTGGTAGAGAAGGAAGATATTGATTAAATTCAAATTGGCTGCGTCAATGCTCAACTTTAGGACGGAATAACACAGATCTGAAGAAAAGAATCTCTCGTAGAGGTGCTCGGCTTAACGGTTCAATGAGATATCGTATCACAATCAACTAATCAAATGTAGCGAACGACAGGACTGCTTGTGTGTTGACCTTCAAAATCAAAATGCATCAGTATCACGCCAATTATCTCTCCGTCATACCAATCACGAGCTCCTGCAACCTTCTGTTACTTTCGAGTTTGTTTTTTTTCTTCATATTTGTGGTAGTGGTTGAATGGTACAAATATTCAAATAATACAAATTGTAGTTAGACATAATATTTGCGGTACTCGAACCGAGTGCGATAAACCCTCGCGTGCAATTGCTGCAAAGAGCTTTATATTTCTATTCGTTTTACTTACTTCTACCTTCTTGGCCAAATATGAGATCTGATTTTACTTTCTTCTTCACAAGTGAATTGCTATGATTGACTCAATTGGTAAACCAAACCATTCAATTGCTAGAAAGAATTTCGTTTCCCCCCCGGCTAAATTTTGAGGGATCTGACTCCGCTTTTTCTTTACTGGGAGGAAATTGAAACGAGACGTCATCATCTCACCGTAATCCAGCCAGGCCGAAGAAGTCATGACGCATGGTGATGAGAGATACAGGTTCTGCTTTTGCTGCACAAAAAATACGCCCGCCCAAACATCACCACCAAGGTAACCAAAGTCACTAGCAAGGTATCCACTTACACACAGCAGTCCCCCAGATAAAAGTCTTTTAAAGCTTTAGGATTTTTATACATAGCTGACCATTACGTCCTGAATTTTAAGCTAAGATATCGACGATATCTGAAGAAGCTGTGAGATAATGCAGTCACAACAGGTTGTAGCATAGATGGCGCCAAAACGCAACATGCAGGGCGGATGCTCGTTTTGTACCAACTGACTCAGAGCGAGAAGTTTCACACATTCCGAGACTATTGATTATTAACGCTGTGTCAAACTTAACCCCAAGCATATAACGTCTGATAAATTACTTTTGGCTTTGTTTGAGACCCAGTAGTATTCGACCGCATCTCAAGCAAATCCGAATCCATAGTATATTTACTAATGAGAAGACGGTAAATCGTACAGGCTTACGCGCAGTACCCCACTATGTACTGTATAGCAGATTAAACGATCTCACCAATTGCAACTTGCGTATTACTTGCACTTTATTTCCGACAGAACACTACCCAGAGCGCCTGTCAAAACGTATACATATCCTATTCACTATCAAAATCTCTACCTCACGCGGTACTTCTGCACCGACAAAACAGACGGCGAGAGAACTACAACTCATCACGATTTCCCACAAACGAATATCGCCGCTTGCTCGGGCCCAGCTTTTCAAATTGGGATTCACCCTCGGGTTCGGCATCCATCGCACGCTGTGCGTTATTTTGCTTCTCGGCTGTACATGAGATACAAATCCACGATACAGATTAGCACAACGATGGTAACTGCATAAGGCTACTGTCTGTGAATATCACATGACCCAAGGACTGATATACATACTAACTTAATATGGTAGGCAAGATATACAAGAAAGGCCGCAAGGCGGCTGCAACATGGGGTGTGAGAAAATCGAGCACAAGCTGAGAACTGTGTTAAAGCGTAGTCGCAGACAAAGAAACCTAATAATGAAAGGCACATTTAGGCCTTCAATCTGAATCATCATGAGATGGGTAGGTACATAGCTATTGTATGTAGTACTGCAACGTGGGTGCCAGAGGGGCTGTATACCTTTCTGGCTGCTAACGCTAGTGTCATTGAATCAAAGGTATCGCTGACAAGTACTGATGCATATGTCGCACCATATGTAGAATCGTAGCTTGATGTCACTCTTTTGATGACAGGTTTTGTTATTTATGAATATATACATGACATTGCACTAGCGGGTAGACATAGTATGCGCCTGCAAGTCACTACATTCGCCATCAGAAATACGTACATGTGGGACTATCTGTACGTGCACAAAAAAAACCTAAGTGCATTTGGCATTTACTTCAGATAGATATCGCGCCCAAACCTTCAGAGATGGCTACCACCATTATGAAATATCTGAGTTGAATTAAACCACACTCCATAATACAAACAAATAGAAGTGAGTCAAAGGTATATATATATATATATATATATCAATATATAATTGTATACATAAGACACACATATATATACATTTATGCCTTGATACAACTATATATCAATATACAATGACAGGTATCACGACATACAAGCAGCAGCAGCCTCGGCGTGGTTCTTCTTCATATCCTCGACCAGACCTTTCTGATACTCGTGCGCATTCCCGGTCAAGGCCTATAGGGGAGCGATATACAGAGTTAGCAATCAACAGGTATACTGCTACGCTAGCTACTATGATCTCGACTTAACATCTCACGAGTTAAAGTCGAGCACTAACACGTGCATGAACTAAGAGATCAATCGTCCATGCAGCGAATATATACTACAACCCAACATAAATATATGCTACAACTCAACATAAATATATACTACAACCAAACATAAATATATACTACAACCAAACGTAAATACATTCTACAACCAAACATAAATATATACTCCCAACACAGGCCCAAATCAAAAATGTCGTCACAACAGCGCGTGGCATGTCGCGTATTCTCACATTCTCCTGACAGCTTCACGATGTTGCGCCAAATGCCGAACGTCCTTCAAGCACACCACACAACGCCGACAGCAGCAGCACTCTAACGGATGCCACTATACAATCACATACCCTAGTACTACCAGAGTATCAAACAATCACACACCCTCATACAACCGGAGTATATATACCCCCCCCCCAAAAAACCAACCAGGCATAATAATGCTAGGATTGTATTCCATATATGGTCATTTAGGGGTTGATTTAGGGTTATGCCCTTACCTTGTCCACCGCCAGGCCCTCTTTGATGTCTCCGGTGATCTCGTGCTCGAGGCGAGCCATCTCCTTCATGCACACGTCCTTGCACGTGAAGTGGTCGTGCTTGCACGTGTACTTGAGCACAGGCCCAGTGGGTGAGCACTCACAGCGACCTACCACACAAACAGGGGCGAGTTAATACAGACAGCGGCTTAGAGAGGGAATACAGGCTGCGTACGAAGAGATGCCGTGGTGAGGCGAGGCTTGAGAGGATATACACAATACGAAAATGATAGGCTTATGATACACTTACGGTGAGAATAGACTTAACGTTTACTGAAATACCAGGAGTAAGCATAGTATGCACATGCCAGTCGAGCAACCAACCTGCCCGGTACGATTTGGTGTGCAGAGAAAATACACCGTTCGGAGGATACACACCACATATCAAGCAAAAACAAAAGTAACAAGCATAAACATATTTACATATACATATATATAGTACACACACACACACATATATATATAGACAGATAGATATAAATAGATATATATACATTCATAAATGTATAGATAGATATTTTATACATATATATATATATATATAGACATAGATGTACATATATATATACATGAACACACACACATACACGCATACAAATTACAAATGCATGCGAAAACACCCTACTCACCTGAGGTGCCGTGGTGGATGATGGTGAGACAGTCTTTGTCTTCGTTGACTTCTGCTGGGCCATCGGGGTCGCACTTGGCCGTCTGTTTGAACATGCACTGCGCAAGACGCTCATTGCGACTGTCTTCGTGCTGCAATGTCCGGACAAAGTGATGAGGATATGAGTATATACATGTGGGGATGTACATGTAAGTATGAGATAGTATAAATAGCAGTACACGCACACTCATATACGTATGTGATTGATCTGGATTGACAGATGTGTATGTAAAGTAAAATAGCAATACACTCACATACGCATTTAATTGGTATGAATTGACAGACGTGTATGTCGGAGATGGTATAAATAGTAATACACTCACATACGCATGTGCTTGTTATAAATTGACAGACGTGTATGTAGGAGATGGTATAAATAGTAATACACTCACATACGCATGTGATTGATATAAATTGACAGATGTGTACGTAGGAGATAGTATAAATAGTAATACACTCACATACGCATGTGATTGATATAAATTGACAGATGTGTACGTAAGAGACAGTAGAAATAGTAATACACTCACATACGCATTTAATTGATGTGAATTGTTTTGCGGTGTAAGTGGAAAGGTACCGGATGCGTACTACAGGATTACACAGACGGAGAGATGAGCAATGGTCTCCCGCACGCACTATGCCGCGAGAACGCCCAAAGTGGACTCCAATGCTATTTAAGAAAGTATTCAAATACTATTTAAAAAGGATTTAAATACCATTGAGAAAGTATCCAAATACTATTGACATCTTGAACTTACAATAGTTATAAATGTACTTATCCATAACTGAGGCGCGTCCAGACACAGCAGTACAAATGTGTACCAACCCCCCCCACACAATTCCACAGCAAAGCATCTATCCACTCTTCAACACACTACGCCGACTCATCGGAGACACAGACACAGTCATAGTATGCTGAACAGGCGACTCACCGCTTTCTGACACTTTTCTTCGCACGTGGTCTTTTCATGGCCACAGTCCATCCGCAGCACAACGCCAAAGTGCTCCACACCACACTCGCAGAAACCTGCAGATATATGGGAACGACAGTTAGTGACAGTCAGATGGAGAACACCTTAAAGTAATAACAGTGTCTGTGTTCATGACTTGTGAATGTAATAGCATCGTCTTCATTCATGAAGAAGCAGACAAGTCATCGCGTTACACTTTAACGTGGTTCCCCCGTCTACTTTAAGACGATAGCACAGCCTCAGACAGAACAAACACACACACATATATATCCAAAACCCTAAATACACATGTATATATCACTGTTAGGGAGACCTCGAGAACGCAGCCAAGGCCCATGGGCGCAAACGCTGAAGGTAGCTCAGACATGTAAACAAGTAGAGCCTTTGGTAGGCGATTCAATCTGAAAAGGCCTGCATGGGTTATAACTGTAAATGGCTACCTACTATGTACACCTCTGATGTTCATCGTTATAGGCCTGCCTACTACACACCTGATGTCTTGGCGTCTAGTACAGCGTCACACTTCTTGTCCGCGTGTACCTCACGCGGCCCATCGGCTATACACCCGCCAGTCTGTCGCCACATGCACGTCTGCACACAAATAGCAACGTATGAGAATCCCCACACACACATGCATGATAATAGAAAAGTATGAGAATACCCACATACAAATGCATGATAATAGATAAGTATGAGAATACCCACATACACATGCATGATAATTGGAGAAGTATGATCATCCCCACATACACATACATGATAATTGGAAAAGTATGGTCATCCCCACATACACATGCATGATAATAGATAAGTATGAGAATACCCACATACACATTCATGATAATTGGAAAAGTATGATCATCCCCACATACAGATGCATGATAATAGAAAAGTATGAGAATACCCACATACACATTCATGATAATTGGAAAAGTATGATCATCCCCACATACACATGCATGATAATATAAAAGTATGAGAATACCCACATACACCTGCATGAAAATTCATGATAATCCCCACATACACATGCATGATAATTGAAAAGTATGATCATCCCCACAAACACATGCACGATAATTGGAAAAATATGATCACACATACAACGAGGGAGTCAGCGTTATAAACGTTCAACACGTACACAGCCAACGCAAGCACAGCGTAGATGCGACGAGGGATGTAGGAAACCAATAGGAACAACTACAGGGAAGGTCAATGGCAACAGCTACAGTACAAGCATGTGTGGATTGAATATATGATACTATGGGAAGGTCAATGGAAAGCGCCAGTGCATTGTTCCATATAGCAAACCTGCCCATCAGCGTCCACTCCCCATGCAGCCCGCGTCAACATGACAACCACACGCGACGATACCTACAAATAACAGCCAGCACCCCGCCTGCATACACCTGCACCTCCACACACCCGTCTATAGCACGCTCAGGGCTTCACGGGTCGTTCGTCCATGCTTTGCATACGCTTACCTTGGCCGTCATGTCCCCGTGGTGGAAGCGCTCATGCAGCTGGTTGTTGAATAGATTGTTGATGAACGTCTGGATACGCCCCGAGTGCTGCAGGTCCCGGAAGTCGCCGAAGTCATACATGTGCTTGAACGAGTCTACGGCTAGCACAGGCAGATCATCCATGGTCTTAGAGATGTGCTGTAGCGGGTGCTTAAACTGCGTGCCATCGGCCACCAGGAACTTGACACTGCGCAGACGGAGATGGGGATGGATTGGCGATGGGTGTGGAGAAGGGGATAGGTGGGCGTATACATAGTATGCGTAAGGCTTGGGTGTAGATGGGTTCATGGGTGTAGGTATGATACACTGGTTGGCTGTGTGTGGACGTACAACACTGGTGGTTAAGGTGTGTATGAATGCACATGTGTTTATAGTTATGTAGGTGTACATATGCGTGAATGTGTATAGAAGCCAATCTGCAAATAGAACGTAAACAAATTCATATATCTACCTACCTACCTACATACATACAACAAACAAAAATACAAATATTCACATAAATATACCAAATAAATACAACGCGACATGGATACAGAAGTAAGTACTACAAGCACATCACTCATCCACGCAATACAGAGCGAACATGCATACGCACAAGTCTTTGCAGTACCGTGAAGCTTCGTGCGCAACTAGGTCACGCACAGCCTTCTTGAAAATCTCTCGGCTCTCGCTATCGTCTGGCTTAGTGAACAGTATCATCAACGGTTTCCCTTCCTCCACCTGCAGCAACACAAAGCCATGATATCAGAACAATGGGCTATATAATAGGAAATGTACGACGCTGAACCATGTAATGTCTATATATATATATATAGTACAAATGTCACTCTCGTGGGTTGTACCGTTCATGTCATTCAACGCAAACAAACACATACGCACATAAGCACACACACACAAACATACATATGACATATATTACGCATAAACATACGTACCTACACACACACATAATATATATATATATATATTATACGCATACATATACATACTTACACACACACACACGGACGCCAACGTACCAGGGCCTCGCTATTCTCGAAAGTGAGCTCGTCAATCAGTGGCTTGCACTGTGCTTGCAGCCACTCGTTGAGGTGTGCGGTAGTTGTGTCGTCTAGTACTTCTGCGTCGGGGTTCTGGTCGGGATACATTTCATGGTCGTCATGTTTCTTCAGGACAATCAATCGGTTGCCCACCGCACCTAATATTGGGGTTTGGGGTATATGGTGGGTTTTAGGGATTGGGTTTAGGTTACCTGACATATGTGTCGTGTATGTGAAGGTGGATACACAATCACATTTGATTCGCATTCGCGTATCAGGATATGTGGGCTGATGAAGACGAATAGGTGCCTGATGAGGTTACAAGGATATGTAAAAAGTATGAGCGTGTGTACCATCAATGATATACATCCGGACGTGTAAAGCCTGGAATATATATATACAAACAAGGTAAAGAGGGTAAACTTGTCCATGCTTATATAACAATATCACAGTTTTAACAATAGGACAACATATATATATATATATATATATAACAATATATACTCTAATTCTGGTGTGTACACCCCATCCACTCACCCTCGAAGTGATGGTCCTGATCTGTGTGGTAGAACTGGCAGTGCCCCCTGAGTGTCTTGGCCATGTTATCGAACGCCTTGAAGTCGCCCGTGTCTCGCCCATGTCTAAACTTTGCAATCACTACCTTCTTGGCTTTGTTCTCTGCTAAGTGCGTATCAACGTCCAAGTTGCCTAGTGGGGCCACCACAGGCTCCATCTCTTTCTTAATGTATGTCTGTTCGGGGGTTAGGGTTCAGGGTTTGATATATGTGTGTACACAAGGAATCAGTGTATATATATATATAGTTATATATATTCATACATACATACGCAGGAAGTAGCTACTGATGCATATGCAGCAGTGCAGTTTCCAAATGAGGGTGTATAAGTGCACCGCACATTCGAAAATGAGGACAAAGAGCAATCCAGTCACTAAACTGCGCACTGGAGCCTTTGAACGCTCTCCTGAACAGACTTATATATATATATGGATATGTATTATATATATATATATATATATATATACATATAGTGATCGGCCCAGGGTCGAACTTTAAGTAGACTTTTCGTGAACACAGGTGGTATCCAATTCAAAGGACCAAGTAAACACAATACATATCTAGGCCCAGGATTAAATAACCCTTATTACCAACTTCATACACATCCACAATTAAACCAATTGCTCTTCCTAGCACGAAATATCAATCTCGCAATACATAAATACGCATTACAAGTAGTATAAATCATACACCCACCATCTTATGCACGCACAGCACACACACACACCTGTAAAGCCCCGACCGTTCGCGCACTCCTGTACTCCTGAGGTCGTGTGATACCCTCCTGAATGAACTTGATGGTGGGGTACTTGGTGATCTGGTTGTGCTGACACACTGCTTTCTGGTCGTCACAGTTGACGCGCCCTACAGCGAAGTTAGTCTGTTCCTGAGTCACCTGTGGGTGGTGAGAGGTATAGACAGACGGTGGGGTGAGTAAGTGTATGTGTTTATTTAGTGATGGTCCTCTGGGGCCGTTATCAGGCGAGAATAATATGGAACAGCGAGAGAGATCCAGTGAAGCAGAACATACATACATATAAACGTATATTTATATATATTTATACATACATATAAACATATATTTATATGTATCTATACGTATATGTCGATATATATTTATATGCATATATACATATATGTCGATATATATTTATTTGTATCTACACGTATATGTCGATATATATTTATATGCATCTTTACGTACATGTCGATATATATTTATATGTATCTATACGTATATGTCGATATATATTTATATGTATCTATACGTATATGTCGGTACCTGTGACAACTGCGCCAACACCGGCTGCAAAGCATTAGAGTACGGACACCAGGGAGCGCCAAAGGCCACGAGGGTGTATTCGTACTTGTCCAGATGTTGTTGGAAGTTTTCGGCATTCAGATCCACAGGGCCATGAGCCTGAGGCACCATGGGAAAGAAGAAAGACACGCAATAGCTTAGCGTGTGTAAGGTACTCTTTAGCTTAGTGTATGTTTCAACTGATTGGGGGTTGATAGGATGGATTTGGATCGATGTGTGGTAGGTATATAAACACATATGCCTGTGGGCGCATGTGCGTGCAGGGTGTGTGTATGTGTATGCGGGAGATGTATCAGGTTAGATGGTGACCTACTGGGCACTCGCTTACTCACAACCAAGATACCATCAACACAGGTCGATATGTATTCGCAGATATATCAATATCAATTGGATATCAGCAATATAGATACCAGGTAACGGACAAGGTATGTCTGTGCGTATATACATGTCGATGACCATGACCAAAAATAGATTTTAAATACAAATACTGTTTATAAATACATAAAACGTATATATATGAAAAAAAACTAGATACACATACAGTTGTAATTATGAAATATGAAAGGTTGAATTCTTATGTATACAAAAATGCGTATGTGTATGTGTATATGTTTATGTAAACTAAACGCATATGTATTTACGTACAAACATATAACATATTTTATGAACCATATTTATGAATACGTGTACACATTCTTCATATTAATCTACTGATATAACTACAGTATTATATTCATAATAATGATTATAACTATCATTATGATTCTATATATATATATATACATATATATATATATATATATATATATATATATATATATATATATATGTATATATACTATAATATATATATATATATAATATGTATATTTATATAAAAATATTATATATATATAAATACATATACATATAATTGCATATAAATACAATATATATATGTATACATATATATATATATATACATATATATATATATACATATAAGTACATACATACATACATACATACATACATATATATATATATATATATAAATACATATATACATACACATATATACAAGTACACACAGACACACATTCTACGTGTACACACACATATGTACATATGTACATATATATATTTACATATATAAAACACACACATACGTACACATACGTACACACACACATACGTACACACACATACGGACACATACGTACACACACACACACCCAAAGACCCAGACCCAGAATTAGACACAAGCATATAAATTTGCACAGACGAATATATATATATATACATCCATACATACGTACACATAACACACACACACACACACACACACGCACATATATACATCCATACATACGTAAACATAAAACACACACACACACACATACACACACATATATATATGTTTAATATGCATATATATATATACACACAAACACACACACACACACACACACATATATATATATATATATAATATGCATATGCATATATATACACACACACACACACACACACATATATATATGTATATATAGTATTTATATATAAGAGTTATGTATATACTTATATTTTTATATACACTTAGTTTCACAGATGTGAACTGGTGTGAATATGTGGTAATATTGGTATGCCAGTAATGTTCTGTTGTTGTTTGTAAGTCTTCGAGTACAACGATAGTGAACAAAGACACTCGTTGCCCTATGCTAAAACCAATCGTAGATAACTTCTCTAACCATACTACTATTGCAATCCCGCATACCTGTACTGCCGGCTCAGCACCACCAACAGCCTGGATTTCTTCAGCAGTCACGCAGTGCACAAGCGATGCCAGAGCAATCGCAGAAAATTTCCTTAGATTCATGGTTGGCTAGCTGTATGCGGTATTAATGATGAAGAACCGAATATGCTGAACTCAACGCGAGTCTCCGGGTGTCTTAGCGTGTGTCTGAGACCTGTAACGTACAACGAGTGTGCAGGATTGTGTACGTATCCAAGTCTAACCGAAGCGACAAGAGAGCTTCTCTATATTTAGAAAGTATAGAATAGCTCGTCAGTTCTTCGTCACCTACATAATTCCTTTCATCACCACACAGGCACATACTACACACAAGAGAGTATTTACACAGACTAGTTTGACAGGTTTCCTGATTTCGGCGAAATATTGGGATGAAAACAAACACCCCTCTCCAATCTCCATTCGCCAATGACTATTCGGGGTTGAAACTTCAATCATTGATTCTAAGGAATATAGGATTATGTCGTAAAATATGTCGTAAACTACAGTTTTTGGTCGACACTCGAAAGTCCTAAGTTAGGGGTAAGAATTAAAACTGGTAGTCCGTCTCAGTTTATGTATATAACACAAAGAGTTAAATCGTGTACTATTTATATATTGACGAGATATGATTGGTCAATTCTAAAACTATGACTACGTCCGTGAATTCGGTGACGACGTGACGGTCGCCTACGGTAAATACTCGAAAACTTTTGCGGTAAATAAATAAAAATAAAGAGGAGATGGTATATTTTAATAAAAAAAATGGTTTGAACTCACAACTGAATCACAAGTCACAAGTCACAACTCGTTGAGACAAGTCACAAGGTAGTGTGACAGTGACACTCTGACACACACTGACACCAGCCACATGTATAAAAAGATTTGTTTTTTCTTGCAACTAGTTTTACACATAAAACATGTCTCCGACAAGGGGACTTAAAAGCGTAGACAGGGAGGAAAGAAACGGATGGGTGGAGTACGATAGTAAAGAGAAGTATGAAATTGGACATAGCCTTCTGTTTAATTTTCAGAAGGCTATGAATTGGATCGGGAAAAAAATAGGGTTAATCTTTCCTGGAGCTAGCCGTAAGCTTCTTAAATTTCCAAAAAAAAACCCCCACAATTCAAAGAATGTCCAATTAGAGAGAATCAGTTCACATAAACCTCAAGACCGGCGGGGATTTTACTATAGAGGTTGACCCAAATGTATATTAACAAATACATTCCATTGATCATTAAATAGATCGAACTGTTCGTATTGACGAGTAATAAACACATACTTGATCTCATCCCGATCAGCTCAGGGATCAAAATTGTTACAACTGTGTAGAAAGTACGCAATATTCAATAAAATCTCGCAAATCGACTTAATATACCCAGAAGTACAATGATAGTCCAGTTCACTCTTGTGACAAGACTCAAGTGTAAATAGTCGTGCAAAGTTGCGAAACTCGCGAAACTCGCGAACAGTCGTGAAAAGTTGCGAAAATCACGACTTCAGCGGAGGGTTACAGAAACCCTAAGCATTATGAGAATAATCCCCACCGTGTGAAGTATTATATTTGGGAGCCCTTTGGATCTGCGGTAGGAAATTTTGAAAAGGAAATTTTGAAATTTCAACTCTATCGGCTGTTATTTGGTTGTGAAAACTGGGAATTCGCGGGATTTCGCGTCAAATCGCGAAACTTCAGTGCCAAATAGCTGCTGATAGAATTATAATTTCGAAATTCTCCACCGTAGGTCCATAGAGCACCCCAATATGGTACTGTACACGGTGGGGATTTTTCTAACCTGCAGATAGTCCCTGTATTCTTCCGCTGAAGTTCGCGACTTTCGCGACTTTCGCAACTTTCGCGAGTTTTGACGAGTATACTCGAGTTGCCACTACTACACTCGAGTCAACAAGACACAACTGGACTATTTTTCATTAGTGAATACATCTGGGTATAATTAGTCGATTTTCGAAGTTTACTTGAATTTTGCACATTTTTTTCAGAAACTTGTGATAGTTATATGACCTATGAGATGTTAGATTGTATTTTGTGTCATATGAACTGTGAGGTATACATAAGGCATTCATTTTACAGATTGTTAGGGTGATTTTCAAGTACCAGCCTAAAACCAGTAGCATGGTTGTAAAAATGTATTGAACATCGCGAGCGCTTATCTAGTTACTGCAACACTACGCTAGGTTATTATACTTACTCGCACCGTAAAGCAAACATGCTAATATCAATAGATATTGTTCTGTGTATAAAATAGATACTGACGTTGAGTATTTGCCGTTGTATTAAAGTTATCATTTAGAGTATTTTTATCTGGGTGATACCAAGTTATGATTATCAATGCTCAAGCTTAACCGTATATCCAATTTCACTATAAGCTATAATATGTAAAGGTATAAGCATACATAGAATCCATATAGGTGATTAGCATTCATTCCCACTACGCTAGTACTATGAACTGGTAAGATGAAGTGGTAAGCAGCGTTCGCAAAAGGTATCTATCACCTTCTAGCATCGAGCAATGATATATGCCATCTGGGGGTATAATAATCAGTGTCAGATTTCATCGTGTTTTAAACAGTTTGTCCGATAATTGGACATTCTCTGAACTTAATGTTGTGATTTTACAAATTTTACAAAGGCCGTTACGACTCGGTCCTGGATTTAAATTCTATGTATTTACGTTAATCGTTGAATTAAAATTCTTTCTGTTAATCGTCCCCGGCGGATTCGTAAAATTTAATCGACACAACTGAATACGCGTAATGAACTGGGGGTGGGGGGGGTTGGGCTGACGTTAATCGTTAAATTCTAATAATCGTCCACGCGAATCGTTAAAATTCTTAACGTTAATCGGCCTGATTCGTAAAAATTGGAGGCGGGGGGCGGGCGGGGGGGGGGGGGTGGCGAAGCCCCCCCGCCTCAAAATAGATATTAATTTCCGTTAAGGTTTCTGTTCAGATTTCTAATGCGTGGGGGGGAAGGGGGGGGGGCTTCGTCTTCCGTTAAGGTTTCGTTCAGATTTCAAATTTTCAAGGTTTGGGCTGAAATATCTCCTTTTGTGCACTTAATTTCTGGTTTTGTGGTTCAGATTTTTAGTGCCATTTAAAATATCTATTTTTTAGTGCAAGTATAATTTCTGTCTTTTCTAAAATATTGAAAGAATCTAGCACTTAATTGTTTTTAATAAAACTACAGCACTTCATAATTGTTTTTGTTTGCTTTTAAAAAAAACAACCAAACCAAACAGAAGTTTTACGATCCAACGGTTTCATTTCCCGCTTAAAACGCGATACGATACCGTTAAACCGATGACCATATATGGTCAAAAAGCGTGACACAAATCCCAGCAATAAAGTTTGGAAGGGACTTCTAGCTAACGCTTTCAGTTATAAATATTTATGTACAGTGTCATAGCCTCTTAAAATTAACAAACGTTTACAGGACGTTAAACTGATTTTATTTATAAAAAAAGCAAAAAACAAATGGAGACCCATATATCTTATGTTTAGGCTATTTATTATAACTTCCTTCCTTTGGGAAGAATCCATCATGTTTCACTTTCACCCCGAGCGATAATTATCTCTCTCTCTCTCTCTTTATAAAAACTCTCGAGAGGGAGCAGTGATACCTACGAGGGCCTGTATACAAAAACACTAAATATTCTTTCAAACTGCCACACGCCCTGCCGAAAATGAATATGTAAATCCAACAGGAATTTGGCATTTACTACACATCTGTCTCAACATAAAATACAAATTCACCTGTGGACCTTCGCACCTTTGCCATTCTGAACTATATCACGCCTTTGATCGTGGTCCTCTGGATTATGTCTCTTGAATAATGTCATTCTCTCTGATACGATGTAACTTTTCTGATACGATATAACTTTTTCTTATACAATGTAACTTTTCCTTAGAGACTCAATCCAGAGGGCCGTGTTTTTAACATAGACAAAATGTACCTGGATTGAGCCGTTTCGATTTGCCTCAATATAGGGTTCCCTAATGTCGACCATATTCGACAAAGGGCAGTATTGATATATGCTGGACCAATAGACTATAGACAATACGTGCCCAATACTGAAGAAAAAGCTGTACCTGAACTAAGTTAAAAAAAATAACGGTAGAAGGCAATGACAGATATGTAATCTACCTTTGTTTCACGTCTCCATCATACCCTTGACTGCAGTATACTTTGCCGCCGGATATGACAGCTTTATGCATAAGCGATCCCACCAAAGATGTATTTTAAAGCAACGATTGACCTGATAGAACCATTTATTTAAGAAATTAGAATATTCACAGAGAAGAGAACAATAATAGTTGCCTTAAAATGAGCCAAATTGCATTTCAACCAACCAAACGCCAATTTAAGGTTGAACAACTTTCATTTGCCACTGCATAGGCCGTATGGACGAATTTAAATCAGTTGAGGACTACAAGCGAATGTAACTTGCACCAGCACGTCGTTGTATGATGCAATATATTACGTTACAATCGGAGAGGAAGATATCCAGGGTAATGTCTGGTTTATTCGATATCTACAAGGTATTGTCTAAGACGATGCAACCTACTCGGTTTAATTCGGTCCATCTGTATATGCCTATATTTTACGGAACCGTGCAAGCTTCACACTTCGTTATCTGGGAAATACATGTTGGCCGGAGATACAGACACTGGAACAACTTCTATTCCTTTTGTCAATATATCACATATTAAACCCTGTATCAGACAGTGCATTTTTTAATGCATGTAGGGTAGCGCATCCGCCGCAACCTCTTTTATACTCCTTGACGACGCCGACGAGTTCGTACATACTCGGGACGAAAACGGTCAAAACAACAAAACAATGTTTTATAATAATAAAAACTTTCATTTATTTATCCGGAATTCCGGATGTGGCCTTCTGAAATGAACACGTAAATAAATTCTTTTAAAATCCGGAATTCCGGACGCACGTCGCACAAGGCCAAGGATGTTGATACCAACAACTACAACTACTACATAAATAATACAACGACTATCCACAGCCTTGCTTCATTTGCAAGGCTACGGAACATAAATACAACGACGGAATATCGAGGATTGCACTTGTGACTACATATAAATATAGGGGAAGAGAGGGGTCTAAGCTACGATATTGCAGTGAGAGTCTATAAATAGGTGCCGGTGGATATCAACACCTCATATAACCATCTACGCCAACATGAGCGTCGTGAACCAGCTTTGCCGTTACCTCAGCCTGTTGATTTGGCACCCCATCGTTACCGTACAGAAGTTTCTCGAGTATTGCGCTTATATCTTCAGTGACGCCTCACCAGACAGTGTTTTCCAACCACCGGTTATGTGGATACAACGAACAGCTGATGCCTACTTAAAGTTCCATGGTGTATCTGTACTAGATGTGCAGAAAATCCCTGATGACGGGCCTGTTATGTTCGTGATGAACCATCAAACATACGCGTTCGAGGTACCCATCTTCATGTCTATTCTGTACCTTCGAACAGGGCGCTGGCCCCGAGGGCTGGCTGATCATATGCACTGGTATTGTCCGCACAAAGTGATACTTGTGTATTTTGGGGCCATCCTGGGAACAAGAGAGGTCACTAGTGCTCACATGCGCAACAAGGATGATATTATTGTGTACCCTGGCGGAGCCAACGAGGTTATGAGGTTAAGAAATGCTGGTAAATATATTCTAACCTGGGGCGAACGTACGGTATGTCGTCACGATATATTGAATGAATGCACATCATACCACAATGAACACATGGTCTATTTAACTTTTTGTGTCAACTTGTACATCTCGATTGCTTTGAAAAATTAACCATAAACAGTGTACAAAATTAACACT